TCCCCCCCCCCCCCAACCATTGTCAGTCCCGTGCTTTTAATTCCAGCCAACAATTCTCAAAATGTCTGAGGAGACAAACATCGGAGGGGGTCAGGACGAGGAGGAAAAGAATTCCGAGGGTCCCCCTCACCTGTCTGAGAATCTCTCCGACGAGATAGCCAGTATGTGGGAGATACCGCAGATGTATCAATTTTTGTGTCTGGCAAAGGAGACACTCGGTATACAACACCTGTCGATGTACGAAATGGAGAGAATGCTATTAATGCCGAAGGCATCCAAACAACTCGGCAGTATCATGACATCTCTCTTGTCCCCACCAATGCCAAAATCCAAACTACGAACTATGCCACCGATGCCCTATCAATTTTGGACGAATTTGCTGGCACAAAAGGCACTCGGTTGGTTCAAAGTTTATCAGGTTAAGGAGGGAGACAGTGTCAAAGTTTTGGAGACAATAGGTGTTGAGCCAGAATTTTGGAAGATATTTCCCCAGCCTGAGCTCATAAGTGAACGTAAATTCGACAAGTTGAGCCTTAGGGAGAGAGTATGGCTACTTAAAACAGTCTGTGATACTTTGATCCACTCGCGACGATCGCTGCAGGATGAAATTGTTAGAAATTATTTAGACGACGACAGTGAAATGGTACTTGGCAAGGATAGACACGGTGCCAGATACATTTATTTTCCAATATTCCTGGATAACGATCTCCGTGTGTATCGTCACTGTCTCGATAATAAGATTTTACTGAGTCTTAAACATGGAAAGAAGGAATCCAAGCCGAAGGCTGAAGTGGCGAGTGAGAAGAAAATGGTTAAGAGGAAGAGGAAGAGTTGGAGGTATGGGAAATTGCCGACTAAATCGAAAAAACGTGCAGCTAAGAGTGATAAAGAGAAGATTGAGCTGACTGAGCAGGAGGACAAGAACGATGATGGGGGGGAGGTTCAGGTGGAGGATAAGGAGAAAGTTGATGAGGAAACGAAGGAAGATGGAAAGGAAGAAATTAACGAGGAGGAGGAGAATCCTGGGGACAAGAACGCGGTTGAGGAACCGAGGGATGAAGAGAAAACTGAGGAAGCTGATGTGCCAAACGCTGAACCGGAGGCATCTACTCAAGCTAAGGATGGCCCACCTCCGCCGGAGGAGCAGGAGACTCAGTCCCTCCGAGACGATGTCTCCAATTGCTCGAAAACAGATGATGAGAAGATTAACGAGAAGCGGGCTGCGAGTCCAGTGCTTGCGAAAAGTCGATCGGAGGTATCGAAGAGCGATGATGAGAAGATCATCGAGACTAAGTCACCGAATGTCGAGGAGGAAAAGGTCGAGGGTTGTGAGGGTATCGCGAAGGAGCCGGAGGAGTCAACGACTTCGGAAAATAATATTGGCGAATGCATTAGTGACACGACTCATAACGCGGACGATAGCAATACAGCTGATACGGAATTGAATAGTGATACGACGAGGGCTGCGTCGAAGAGGGAAATTGAGGAGTTCAAACGTATGATAACGGACCTGGGGGAATCGAGTTTCCGGCTGGTAGCTGATAGTTCAGACGCGCTGAGGGATCTGGTGGCGTGCTTCGAAGCCCAGAACTATCCGGAGGGGCCTGTAAGCCACAGAGAATACTAGAAATACCATTAATCTCTTGTTTTTTGGTAATTATAGCAGAGAATTGATGTGATTGCAGGAAACGGTGGCTTGCGAGGTGCAATTGATAAAGAAACTCAATGCCTTGATTACGGAGTTGGAGACGATTGAGGCGACTCTGAGGCAGTCGAAGATTGTGGCTAAGGAGAAATTGCAGGAGGAGTGGAACAAGTTTCAGGACGGGTAAGTGATGTGCTATTTGTTGTGTGTCGGTATTATATTTATCGATGATAAATTCATGACAGTGATAAAGAGAATGGGGGCCAGCCAGCTGATGGGGAGAAGGGTTCTAATACATGGATTATTGGATCGCAGGGCTGTCCTTTGCTTGCTAACGGTGACACGTTGTCACAATCCAGCATGGAGGGACAACAAGTCACTGAGGGAGGAGTGAAAATTAAGATTGAGAAGAAGGATCCTGATGAAGAGAGCAATGGTAGGTGTTATTTTTTTATTATACATTCTTTTATATTAAAGGAAGATTTATAATCTTTTAAATTTAAGGATATTCAAGTATTTTTTGCAGTTCGGTACAGACCACACTATAGATTCAACCATTTTCAATCATCAAATTTGCCAATTAAATGGCGTGAGAAAAATTTTGCATTTTTGCAATTTTTCCCTCAAATATCTCCTCCCAAAAGTCCCAATCTTGTCTCATAAATTAACCCTGCCCTGAGACCGCCATCTCTTCCACCTTGCAGGCTCAGAGCGTGAGACACGCCGAGTGCTGCGTCGCCGAGGAATCTCCTCCTACCTCGAGCCGTTCTTCACCTCCTCGGAGGACTCGGACCCGGGTGACCAGGACAATTGGCCAGGCTTTGAGTCACACCCCACGCCGACAGGCGCGGTATCCCCGCCAGTGGAGCCAATTGCTCCTCGTCCCCGTCAAACCGGTGAGGAGTCCACCGCGGAGGACTCCGACCAAGACTGGATCCTCCCGGGCTCCCGGAAACGCCGTCGAAAGCGCTCAACCCCAAGTAAACGCAACAAATCATTGCACAATAAATTACAGACAATAAATTCCCACGGTTCAACAACCCTTCACCCAGCGTCGGATCCAATAATCAGTGATTCAAAAATCCGAGTAAATCCACTGAATAATGCAGCCCCAAATCGTCCGGTGAATAAAATAAAAATAACCAGTGTCCATTCGGAATTGGATATAAAGGACGAGGGGCCAATAATCGATACTGTTACCAGTGGTACAACTGATAATTCATCGAACAGCGGCGTACAGCAGAACTACGTTCTAGTCAATACGGGTAATGGTCCTGTTAATTACGTAGTGATGCCCCAGGATAATCCCCAGCAGCAAGCACCATCGATGATGTCAGTTGTGCCACCACCAGTGCAACAGCAGAATTACATACAGAGTTATATACCGGGCCCTGGTGGCTACATTGTGCCCCACATGACGCAGTATCGTTCACCCTATCCCAACTCCTCGAGCCTCCAGCCAATGATCATTCAGGGGGGTCAGATGATGCAGCAGCCGTACATGCAGCAGCCCACCAGCAATTATCTGCAGTATCAGCAGGTGATGCCACCAATGACTGTGTCGTATCCTGGGGGAATGCAGGGCCCAGTCTCGCAGTCGATGGCAGGCCCTCGACAGCCAAACAGAGACATTCAGATTCGCGCTATTGGGCCACAGCAGACGAGGCCACAGCATCCGGTCGGGGCTGTCATAAGGAGTGCTTCGGTACCCTTCAGGGGCCCCCCCAGGCCTCAGGTGAGAGGTCGAGTGCCCTCGAGTCCTAGGATTCTTCCGCGTGGGCCCAGACCTGCTGTGAGGCCCCAAGGCACTGGGAACAACAGAAATGGGCCCTCGAGTGCTGGTAAATCACCTGGGAAAACCACTTCGTTGATTGTACTCAGTGACAGTGATGACGAGATTGAAATGATTATCACTGAAAAGTCTGGGACTGGGAGGGGGTCGACCCAGAGGGGCCAGGGGGGCAGGCAGAAGCCGGTGATAACGTCTGAGGTTACGGTGCCGGGGAAGAGTGTTCTGTCACCGCAGATTATACAGCGCATGAATCAGGGGGGAATATCGATAACGCCTATTAAACCGAAAACAGTGGAAAAACCCACTATTGGTGGGGGCACACAGCTGGTTGTTGTTGTTAATGAGACTGGGAGTCATTATGCTCTCGCACTTCCCAATGGCAGTAAATTGATACTTACGCCGGAACAAGTTGCACAAATTCGGGCTTCCAATGGTGGCAAACTTATATTGTAGATATGAGATTTTTGGAGGGGGCAGGCTTGGCGAGCGCGGAACAGGTGCGTAATATTTTTGGGGCGATTGATTTTAGTTTATTGGATGGGGTTTGAGGGGGTTTTATACTTTAGGGCTTAAGTTTTCGCATTTTTTGTGGGGATGAAGGAATGAAGGGAATTTTAAGTTGTCTTTTAAGTGACAAATCACATTTTCGGGGAGAAAATAATGAGTTTTTTTGGAAATTAGAACGATTCGAATTTTTTTATTTATTCTTTAGGTAATGAAAGGATTACACAGAGTTCGATGATGGTTTTAAGAATTTGATCGCAACGCGGGCGATGGAGGTGAAGAAACAGAATTTTTTTATGTACAGACTTTGGTGAATTTTATTTTGGAAAATCGGTAAAATGTCGGTAAAATGAGAAACGCGAGTCGTTTTTGAGAGTTATTTGTAATGTCTTTAATTGAAACTGTTTTGAGGTTCTCAGTCAAGTTCTCTGGTGATTTTGGGAAATTGAAATTTATTTTCAATTTTTTAATTTATTTTCAAAATTGTCTTTTCATGAAAGAAAATAACTCTCTTAATCATTGAAAAAAAACAGAAATTGTTCGGAAAAGTGTGAATGATGAAGGAATGGTCAGACAAGTTGTTCACAATGGCAGTTTACATTTTTTTTTCAAGAATTTGATCGCAACACATGCGATGGAATTGAAGGAACTAAATTTTTTATGTACAGACTTACGGATTTTATTTTAAAAAATGTGTCTTTAAAATTAGGAAAGCAAGTCGTTATCGGTGAAAAGAACGAGAATTCTGCAGAAAATTGTAAATAGTAACGAATATTCTCATGACTTTGTGGAAATTGAAATGAATGAACTAAATTTTTCTCGTATACAACCGTTCATTAAATTTATTCTCAAAATTGTAAATAATAAACCAACAGGCAGACATACTCACAATTTCTGCAATTGAAAAAATGTTCAAAAAATTTCAGTCAACTTCTTTAATCATCAGAGAAATTAGGGACAATAGCCTTTACAAAATGAATAAACATGATTTTTCTAACAGCTTTTTATGAAATTTATTTTGAAAATTGTCTTTAAAAAAGAGAAAATAACTCTTTTCATCATTGAAAAAAACGAGAATTCTCCCAAAAATTGTAAATAATAAACGAACGAATGTATCAAAATTTTTAATTAGCTCCTCTGATTATCAGAGACTTTAGTGATAGTGTTCACAAAATTAAATAAACGAAAACTTCCTTTGGCATTAACTTTTTAAATTGTCATCAGAGTGAAGAGAATTGCACGAATTATTTTTCATGAAATTTACTTTCGAAACTCTAAAAAATGAAAAAAGAATAATAATTAAAAATATATTCAAAATGTCTGCAATGGAAAAATTTCCGTCAACTTCTCTGACCATCAGAGAAATTAATCGCGACAGGTTTTTTCTCACACAGCTTTTTATGAAATTTACTTTGAAAATTGTCTTTAAACAAAAGAGGGAATAACTCGTTATCATTGAAAAAAGGAGAATTCTCCGAAATATTGTCAATAACAAGCGAAAAAATGTATCAAAATTTTGAATCAGCTCTCATCATAAAAAAACGAGAAGAGGGAGTCTATCGCAAAGAAATTAGTCTCAGCATATGCAAAATTAAATAAACGAAAAGTTCCTATGGGATTAATTTTTCAAATCGCCATCAAAACCGAGTGAATTCCACGAAATCCTCTGATAAAGCGTGAAGGTCATGTCAGCACTCTGAATATGAAACATTCAGACATATTTACATCATCAGAAGAAAACTTGTTCAATTCTGATTTTCAATGCATCACTCTGGTTTCACTTTGATGTGGACTTTTTTATCGTGGTCCAAGAATTTAGAGAGCCTGGTACCGTTGTACGGGGTGTCACTTCCAGGCGGATGCAGTCGCATCTGTAAAAATTTACAACACACGAGTATTAATAATTTTTCCATCCGAGGGGATCTGCTAGGCACCTAATAGCACGATAATACGCTCTACCTTCATCACACAAGTAACTTTAGCGTGAAAATTTCGAGCGCTCAGATATCCTAATGGATCTCCTTCGGCGTGAATGAATACATTGCAAATGTCACTGTTTCAATTGACTCAATTCAATATTCATATGAACAAATAATATTTATACCTGAGTAATTACGTACCACCTGCGCTAGATGTACGAGTCCAATGGGTTCAGCTAGTATATCGCAAATGCAGCCGATTTTTCTCATTCGTTGTACATAAATTTTTTGTACGGTGATAATTTAGAAACAAATAAGTTGATAGATACTACTAGAGGATTGTATATCGAGAGAAAACGATCGAATATCATAAGAGTAATTTCTTCAGCCGAGAATTACTGAGTAAAAAATTATTTCCCTTTCTGAAGAAGAAAAGAACGAAAAAATTTGTTGAAAAAGTGCTAAAGTTTTTATTAGTTTCTGACTGATTCTATTGAAAAATCGTTCAATCGAAAATATTCTAGAGCAATTGCTCGGCTCAATTTTTCATATATTTTTTGCTTGATTTTTTTAATGAAAGGAGAAGAAAATGGAGTGGAGTTGGAATTGCTGTTAAAAATGTTTCAATAGAAAAAGTTGCGTCAAGTTTTCGAGGGATATCTCGAAATCTAAGACAGATAGCGACATTTTCGTAATGATCTTTTTTATAGAGCAAATTGAGAGCTACAAAAAAGGTAATGACAAAAAATTTGCTATCTGCCTCAGATTTCAAGATATATTCTTTGAAAATGAAATAGTCGAAATTGACTTGAACGGTTTTACCGCTTCGCTACTGATTTTCTGTAAAGTTTTCTGGTGCGTGAAGAAAATCTCACTCTAACGTGAAATGTTCATGTTTATGTCATGGCATTTCACGGAATCCTTGTCCCCATTCGTTCTCAAGAGACGATACATTTGCCTGAAGAAATCAGTTTTGTGATATTATAATCGTTTCTCTCCCCGTATACGAACATTTATGGAGAATAAGGTATGAAAATATCCCACAATACGAAGGAGAAATTGTATCGACATTCAAATAGAGTAAGAATACATCAAACTATTGTACATAAACTACTTTTATAGACTACAGAAACTCGTTTTAAGTTGATTATACTAAATTATTAATTCAGGAATGTTAGCATCGCAAGCAGCGTTATTTTGTTATGAATCAGTAGTATTGCATCCAGTTACAATCAATAAAACATGATATTACTTATATCCAGTTAAGAAATAACACATCACACTGTGAATTAATGTCTAAATTGTTTTATTTAGTTAATTATTCAGAAGATTACTAAATATATTGCTCTCTATAGCCCTTTTCCAAGGATTTCCAGAGTTTCATGGACGAGTTATTCATTTTATTTCTGGAGTTAGATAATCAGTTGTTTTATTGCGAAAAATCTGGCGATATATCGTCGTTGGAGATGGCCTTCTCAGCTTCCAACTCCTTCAAGCGTTTCTGAAACGAACAAAACCAGCACCGATACAGGCATGAAAAAAATTAATATAAAAACCTAGGGATTTCTCCAAGAAATTCTATTGAAACTGAACAAGAATTCCCTCGAAGTTCTGGGAGAATTCTATTAAAAATTTCATTTGTTTTCATTGCGCCATCTCTGTAGGAAATTATGCACGTTCACTGCGTCATTTTGTTGACAGATATTTGATTCAAAAAAAGGAATAGATTTTTATTTTTCTTTAGAAATTTTTTAGCTTAAATATTTGTTTCTCATAATAAAATCCGAGGAATAAATATTTCGGTCAATCATGCCCAAGAAGTTCTATAGAAAAGTTAACGTCTATAGGCTTCACTATAAACAAATGTCTATTCAAAAACATACGGGGAAGTTACATAATTTTCAATAATCGGGCGCGAAAAACAAATACAATTTTTGAATAGAATTCTAATAAAAATTTGACAGAATTTAGAATTCTATAAAAATTCTCTTGAAGTTCTATTAGAATGTTATTAATTTTTTGCGTCATTTCTATAGCAGTTATTTTGTTAAAACATAATTGATCAAAAAAAATTTCATAGATTGTCATGTTTTTCATAATATGATCTCAGAAAAAAAATTGAGAAAGCTCAACATCTATTCATTTTTCCATAGACAAGTGCCTATTTAAAACCGCACGGGGAAGTTACACAATTGTCAATAGAAAATTGGCGCAACAAAAATAATTTTTGAATCGAATTTTAAAAGAAATTCATCACAGAATTTCTCGGAGAAAGCGCTAGGTTATTCTATTGAATTTTTTCACACGTGTATAACTATTAAAAGCGCTCGTTGGCGAATTAATCGATCGTCAGGGGTTTCTCTCCATCGAGACTCAACAGATCGTTATGAAGTGGCAAAAAGGCTCGTGTGCGGGGGGCATCGAGGGCATGTTCATCCTGGACTTACCATGATCCTGTACTTCTCTTTACAAGCGTACTCGGTCTCATCAACGTCATTGTAACAGTCACTCTTGTAATCCTCGGGGATCGGTCCACCCGCGAACTGGCAGAGCCTCGACAGGGGTTTCGCTCTGACTATCATCTTCTCGAAGCCCGTTGGCTTGTGCTGGGGGCAGTAGAATAGATCTGGGGTGTTCTTATCGTATACTATGCTCTTTCGCATCATGTCGCCGGCGTTTACCGTCATCAGGAGGGACTGGAAAAGAAGGAAATTGGGGGGGTTTCTTCCTGAACTACACTGAGAGAAAAACAAACACGTTGTCAAACAAGTCTTGTTTGGGCCAACAAAATCGCTAGTTGAAAATTGCCGAAAAAAAATTTGTTCGGTTCGAATTTGAAAGTCTCAAACATGAATAATTGTTCTGCTTTCGACAGCAACGAAATACTCGGTTTAAGAGACGGATAATTCACACCAGACGGTGCCTTTTCAGGATGAAAATATCTCATACAGAGGAAAATTTATCCCTTGTAATACCACAAGAGCTTCAAAATTATCGGGTATTTTCCGATAGGTTCGTTGCAAACAAACGATCGCGTCAAGTTTTCCAGGTTAAAAAATCACGAGTGCGAAGCACGAGTGATTTTTCCTGAAGAAGTTGACGACTTCGTTTGTATGCAGGGAACCTTGAGGAAAATACCCGATTAATTTTGAAGCTCGTGTGGTATTCGGGGGATTATTTTTCAAATCCAAATGTCGAGCAATATAATTGGACCATGAGACGAAACTCACAATTGAGAAACGAAAATTGTATAATTAATACAACGACACAATTGAATTCAATCTGTCAGTTTGACGAGGGGTTAATTCGACTGCATGATGTTTTGTTTTTTATATAGCAACTACCAGAGAAAATTATCAAAAAATTATCAGTTGAAAACCCTGTACTTGTACCACGCGATGTCGAATGGGCCAATTATATTGCCCGATATTTGGGTTGGAAAAATAATCAACTAATATTTTATCCCTAAGTTACAAGATTGCTATCATATCATTATTATTGTTTCATTTAAGGGTTCATTTCTTGTCTGCGATTATTAGACAGCCGAAACGAAAAACTACTATCCCTTGATTTCGCATAAAACAAAGATTTTTCGGGAGCAAAATACGTATCGGAGTATCGAATAACGAAGGGGTAGTGCTAGAAATGACATTTCTTGCGTCTACAGAGAATGCAATTAAATATTACTCCCCTCAAGATGACAATTCCCTTCTAACAAATACTAAACGAAACGAATCCCTGATCTAATTAAGGAACGATATTTTCCATCTACGATGGAAAATTGAGCGAAAACAAAATTACAATAACGTGAATAATTCGTAAGATTGATTTATAATAATTATGTTACATTTCGGTTCGCCCTCGGAGGATTTTTGCATCTCAGAGAAATGAAATGCTCCAATTCATCCAGAATTTGGCGCACTTCTCTGATTCAAAACGAGTCCTCAAAAAACCGAAAAACCCTCCGTTAACTCTTTAATCGCGAGACAGTCAAAGTGCTCTCGTCACCTTGAAAATAAAAACTTCAACTTACAATGAGTAGCAGCGCAATACAGCATTGCCTTCCGTTCCCTGCAGAATAAAAAAAGAAACTGCGAATTAGATTAAAACTCCATTAACTGACTTTGCGAGTAAAAAACGCCCCATCTCGAAAAAAATTAGCATTTTAATCCGCTTTCTTCTGGTCAGACTCTATTTCCAGTGTACGTGAAATGAATCGAGCAAAAGAAACACGGCATGCGATAGTGATTGGGTCCTGACGGTGAAATCCATCACCTGCAGAATCCCTGGTATTGTGTACACTATCTTAATAGAATTTTCCCAAGACCCATTTCGATTAATCTTATGCTTGTCGTTGACTCACCCATTGCGCCCAACTCTGCCGTCAAACTTTGGTAAAATAAAAAGAATAAATAAAAATACAAAAGAAGTATTAAAAAACGTGACGAGAGCGTCGGAATCTGACGCAGTCTGACGCTCGACTGATCCCGCGAGTTGTGAGCATTGAGTCAGGGGGAAAGGAGAAGGAGTATGGGTGGGAAAGGTGCCGTTATGTGGTATATACACATGGTACAGCTCACCTCAAAACCGACAAAAAGGTGTATTCTCACCTTGAAGAAATGCCTTTCCATTTTACCCACCGAAACTCCAGAAAAATCCAATTTTGTTTCTCCTGAAAATTCAAATTAAAAAAAACGGGGGGAAATTGCTCTTGTATTGCATATGGTATAGTTACTTTGCGCATTCATTGTTTATTTCATTTTGTTAAATTGAGTAAGATTTGTTTTTAACTAATTTTGTCATCGTTATGCTTATTATACCTTTTTTCTATTCAACCGATTGTCTTTTTTAAAGTTCTGTCTCTCCTCTCAGCGCTCCGATAAAATGGTAATAGAAAATTGTTATTTTAAGTTATGGCGATTGATGGGGCTCAATAATACCTACATTTGAAAAAAAAATCAATTTCATTCATTCGTTAGCGAAAAATTGAAGAGAAACTGTGTTACATACGTAAAAATTGCATTTACGGACTTTTTGAATCACCTTGGATCGGTATAACATAAATAATCCAAAACTTAAATTTTAACGATTACAACACACGGAAAAATTCAATAGAAAAACCCAGCGAATTCTATTGGATTTCAATTGTAATGTTCAATAGAAAATGTCAGTAGAATTAGATTTTTTATTCTATTGACTCATTCTATCGAGATATTTTCTGTAGAATTTCTTCGGCTCAGCTTTTCCAAGTTCTTTTCATTCAATTTTTCTTTTCTTATCAAAAAAAATCAAACAAAAAACTTCAAAAGTTCGAGCGGAGGACGTTCTGTGGAGAAATCAAATTCTCTCGATTTTTTAAATAAAATATTTTCTATTGAACATTTCAATAGAAATGGCCAAAAGCTAATAGAAATTGGATAGAATTTTCTAGCGAATTCGCTAGGTTTTTCTGTTAAATTTTTTCGTGGGTGAAAGCTTCCATTCGGAAGCAAAAAACAAAAAAAGGAATTATTTCTTCAATTTTCCCCGGCGAAATAAACTCCCGAAGAAATAAACGTCTTTGATCTTTGTGGAGGCGTCACACGTGGGACTTTGATCATCATCTCACGTATTTCGGAGGAGAGACCGTAATAGGATAAATGGGATGGGTCTGAATGTGTCGGTGTATGAGGGCGTCAGGTGACATGGTTGTAGGATTTTTTGGTGCTGGAGGTGGACGATGAGAAAGCGCGGGAAGGTGAAATTTTTTATAATATACCTCGTTGTGATCTTGACAGTCTGCAGATTAGCCGTGGGAAGACACAGGTTGCTTAATCCAGGTTTAACTTGTTTATTTCACGATTGCAAACTTCTTCATTAACCTAACAGCGGACTTTTAAAATGGGACAGATTGGGGCGACGAGGCGATGAAGCTGGGGATGAGAATGTCGGGAGTGTGTTGTTTGACAGAAATAATGCTGGAAAAGTTTGCTGGGAAGTTGAGGAGCTCATACTTCTCAATAGTAGACACATCTTTCAGGACATTCTTCCGCAGGTTAATGGACATTTTCTTCATCGCGGATACATGGGTGAAAAATTTAATGGGAAAATTTAATGGTTTGTCTGAGGAATTCTGTTGAGTTTCGAGATAATTTTAGGGGCCATTTTCAGGCCAATTTTAGTAGAATTCTTGGAGAGTTTCAATAAAAATTCAATGGAATTTTTCAGCAAGTTTTCTTATTTAATTCTTTCACACGTGATAACTCACGAGTCACGTATGAAATAATTTAAAGAGAAACCCAGTGGATTCGCTAGACAATTCTATTGGATTTCTATTGAACTTTGTTTTAGCCCAATTTTATTGAAGATTTTCACAGTTTTATTACGCGATTTTTTCTGTAGACAATATCCGATGGAAAATATTTCATTTGAAAAATCAGTAGAGTTTCATTTTTCTATAGAACCTTTTCTAATGACACATTTTCCATAGGAACTCCTTGACGTGAATTTTCTATTGATTTTATCTACAGAATATTTTCCATTGAACATTTCTATTGAAAAACGCGCAGATTAGCTGCAGAAATTTCCAATGGAATCGGTCAAAAACAGATGGAAATTTCAAGAAAAATCCCATAGAATTTTTCAGCGAATTCTATAAAAAAATTTTAATAGATTTTTAATAGAAATTCAATAAAATGTTTTGCGAATTCTCCAGAAAATTCGCAAAGTTTTTCCATTAAATTTTTTCATACGTAATAATTTCAGTAACAAAGTCGTAAAACGGTTTAAGTCGATTTTGACTATTGCCCAGTTTTTAGTGAATACCACGGAATCTAAGGGAGATAGCTAAATTTTTGTCAAAACCTTTTTTGTAGCCCTCAATATGCTCTAGAAAAAAGGTTATTACGAAACTTTCATTATCTCCTTTAGATTCGGAAATATTCTTCAAAAACTCAACTGAGAGATGAGTCGACTTGCCTCGTTTTACCACTTCGCTACTGATTTGTTTTAAATTCAGATCAGGGTAATTGACACTCGTAACGACACTTACATCGGTCTTTTGATGGACTACATGGACATATGTCTGGAGGCAGTAAGGGGATTAACTTCCGGGAAGACTAAGCATTTAGTTTTAAAGGCTCTAGCTGACACTCTAGCCGGCTATCTACGGGTTTATATCCTCCCCATGACAAAGAGGTCCTACTACGCTGGTAATATCAAGTATCGAAAAGCTAAGAGGCTGTTTGATCTTTACGACGAGCTCAAGGTTTTTTTACGGAGTAATGGAGTTGGATGGAGAAAACCCAGAGAGTTTCATCAGCATCTTGATGTTACAGCGGTTGATATACCCCCCGGGAAAAGTGATCAGGACTGCACGGGATTGATTCTTTATCCTGGTAAAAGCTTCTTGTCTGTCGAGTAATTAATATCTGCCTTTTATTTCGGTTTTTCATTGGATTTAAGACGCTTTCCAGGCCCTGATCGATCTGTACAAGTTCCCATGCCTTATCTCGACGACGAGAGTAATCCTAACAGGTCCTTAATTATTCTGGCTTATTCCTTTGTGTTTTTTCAACGCTACAACGAGATCAGTCGATTTAATTTTCATTTTATTTTTATTCGGTTGGCTTTTATTGTTGTTTAAACTCAGTACTTTTGAAGGCGAGTTGATTCAGCTTCTTTTGTGGTCAACGTTTGACTACTCAGTTTCCAGTCAATTTCTTCCAATGGAAAGGAAATAGATAATTTACAAAAAAAAATGTAAAAAGCCTCTTCATTTCATTTTACTACTTTTTTCAAAATATCGTAGAACTAGAGGAAGAAAGTAAAATTTTTGTGAAGACGCAGGAAAAAAGTGCATAGAAAAACCTAGCGATCTCGACCTGAATTTTCTATTGATTTTTTTTTTCTATAGAATATTTTCTCGCCCAAAAACTAATATAAATTTTCAGCGAATTCGATCAAAAATTCTATTGAATTTCTAATGAAAATTTTATTAGTTTTTCATCGATTCGATTGGAGATTTCCGTAGCTTTATTACGCGTTTTCTTCTATAGACAATGTCCAAAGAAAATATTTCATTTGAAAACAGTAGAATTTGATCTTTTTCAATTTTTTCTATTGACACATTTTCCATGGCAATTCCTCGCCGTGAATTTTGCATTGATTTTTTCTACAGAATATAATTCGCTAGTATTTCCCATGAAATTGTTTTGTGCGTGAAAAACCTCATGAAAATGTTCTCAACTGATCTCGTTTTATCACTTCCACCACTGCACAGTAACAATTACAATAACATGATATAATTGATTAGCATAGCACTTCCATTTGAAGTGGCAAGTCTGTCATCGCTATTCAGTGAAGAATCAGCATTTGTTCTCGTCAAGTATTACGCGGCTGGAGAGAAGTGCCTCTCGTCCCGATCGACAAAGGGACAATTGGAAATATTTCAAAGGCAACTTTTTGATTGGATTCAGGAACACGTATAAAACATGAATTTTTAAATGAAATAGTTTGTGATGCTAAATAAGAAGACAAGTTGAGGTCTCTCGTATTTTCCCCCCGCTGAATATGAAAGCCCAGAAATTATATTGGCTAAAAGTTTACCCGAGGGATTTACCAAAGCGTGAGACGATAATTGCATTTCTGGAACGCTAAATTTTTTGGTTCCTCGGGCTTAAAACTTATCTTCTTATTTCCACTGAAAAATAAAGTTTTCAACGCTTTTATTTTTAATGTATCTGAAAAATGAAGGTGAATCAACACTTGGACGAGGAAAAATGGTATCCAGCGTTTGGCGGGGTTTTAAAAATAACAGCGAGTCTGGAAGCGGCAGGTGAGACGCCCCTCAATTTTCTTACATCAAAAGTTTTTACATCAAGGATGTAATAAGCATCTCATCTATTCCAAAATTGGAAGCGAACGTATTTCTTATGAAAAATGAAGCTTCAATTTTTTTCATTTTCGAGGATTCGATTGTTTTATACAACTTTCTCAAAATTCTATTGAGATATTTTCTAATGGAATGACAAATTTTCGATTTTTTTTCATTGCATTTTGATTTTGTTTTCATCAGAAAAATCAAATAAAAAAACTTGGAAAAGTTGAGCAGCGGAAAATCTATAGAAACAGTCAAAAGAATTCGATTTTTCTATTCAACTTTATTTATTGAGATATTTTCTATAGAATTTTGCCGGGTCAAATTTTCTAGGTTTTTTGTTTGATTCTCTTGATGATAAGAAAATAAAAATAAAATGAAAAATATCTCTGCAGCATAAGTTGTATAGAAAGATGAAATTCTGATTTTCCAAATGAAATATTTTCTATCGGATATTGTCTATAGAAAAAAACGCGTATTAAAACTGCGGAAATCTTCAACAAAACTCGCTGGGTTTTTCTATTAAATTTTTTCGTGCGCCCCAAAAATAAAACTTTTTCCATCTTGCCAAGGTGTAAAACCGAGTAAAAATGGTGGACATCAGCCGTCGCCGAAGAATTTCGGTGGCAAGCCCATACCGAACATCCTCCCATTTCCCCCCATGAATACCCAGTACGAACTACTCGGAAGAAGAGAACTCGTTATTGTAGCTGTTGCAAGTGCACTACTAATTTGGCTATTACTCGGGATGAGTCTTATCTGCTGGAAAATTCTGGCAACTCGCTCGTCCAACTCCCCGGAAGACACTCCGTAATAAACTCCCCACCCGCGTTCCACGAAAATTTTCATAATCCGCATGCCTCTGCACCTAGGGTCGCTGTCCTCTATGAAAACAGAAAATACCCGAGCCCAGATATCTCCTCGCCGTCGGAGGGTGGAATTTTTACGCGCGTGAAAAAACTCTGGCGACGAAAATCATCATCCGTTCCGCGCTGTGAGTGCCCATCCGAGGAGGACGATGAATGCGATGAAGAAAGATGTCTTGGCTCAGTGAGCTACAGTACCGATGAAATAGACAGACAAATGGAGAATAAAAGACGAAAAAAACGTACAAAGTTTACATCAGTGCCATCGAGTACCACCCAACGTCGATCCAATGGGGTAAGCTCACATCCATTGAAATCAATTGTGACACATTTCCCCCGATCTCTCATTTTATTTTCCCTTCTTCGAATGACGAAGAAATCCTACTATTCAACGGACGAGTCGAGCACTGAGACGAGGGAACGGAGTCCTTAACATTCACGTTAGAAAGGAGCATTGAAAATTTGGTAAATAATAAGAAAAACGTGAAAATATTCGTCAGTCTGATGTTGTTTTCCCCTTTTTATTGTGGCTGATGACCTAAACCGGGTGATATCTGAGAATTGTGGTCCTTCATCCCTCTTTATTCTTCCTGCAGTACATATGAAACAGATAGACAAGTGGAAAATGAGAGACGAAAAAAACGTACAAAGTTTACAACAGTGCCATCGAGTACCACTCAACATCGATCCAATGGGGTAAGCTCACATCCGTTGAAATCAATTGTGACACATTTCCCCCGATCTCTCATTTTATTTTCCCTTCATCGAATGACGAAGAAATCCTACTATTCAATGGACGAGTCGCATCCCCGTATCCACGTAAAAAAAATTGTCTAGGACCACAAAATTCTGCTAAAGTTTTCAATAAAATAGTTTCCATTTTCCGTAAAACACCCACGCAATAAATTTCCCCTCAAATTTCAATAGAAATCCCCTAGAATTTCCCATCGATTTCGCTGCATTTTCCCGAAACTTTTCCGCGCGTGCATTGAAATCAATCGCGCCACAAAGCCCGAATCACCCCCTCCTCTAATTTCCCCTTTTCCAAATGCCGCAGAAATCCTATTCACCGAGTGGAGCTCCCCCGAGTGGAGAGACGACTGCAGGCCCCCAATTCCCCCAAAAAAGGCATTAAAAATTTGGTAAATAATACGAAGAAAACCGTCAAAGCATTTCTCGGGTTATGAAGGCTATATATAAATTCATGAAAGGCCAGGCGAGAGGACGAGGGGTGAAATAAGGAAAACGGAAAAATAAGAAAAGCCCGAATGCACGGCCGGGGGAGAGGAAGTGAAAGAGATTGTGTCGGGGGAGCGATGCGGGGGGGATGAATCTCGTGGAAGCCTTGGAGGAAAAATGACAAATGGAGCGCGCAAGGGTACAGTCCGCCATCTGGAGGAAACTCAGGCTGTGGGTGGGGGAGAGCTATAGAGTGAGCGAGAGCTTTTACTGTCAGCTTGGGCTCCACCGGCTTCTCCCAGTGCTCCGCTACACGTCGAGGCGAGCGCATCGCCCACCGCCACCCATTCAAATTGACTTATTCACATTTTACCGGGAGAAAGCCCCATTCGATCAAAACGACACGTGAGTGTGTGCTATGACACGTGGGCACCGAGGCCAAGTCACCAGGATCAACAGCCCTCAGACAGACCTTTTTACCGATGATTTAGTCATTTTTTAAACGATCATTTACTAAGATAACTTTTACGAGAGCATTAATGTACAAATGAATGATTTGAGATGATGTGATTAAACGGTTTCACCACTGAAAGGAGAGGAGGAGTTGATGGGGGGAGACTTGCCATGTGTCCTGAATAGTCTGGCATACTTCACCTGTTCATTGTGAACTGTTATACCAACGAAATGCACGTTCAACTGTATTGGATTCTCGTCATTGTCTCGATACAACTTCTCGCCACGTCGATAGGTATGTTATGGGTAGAATAAAAAAAGGGGAAAAATCAATGTTTGTGTTATGAATTTCCCGGTGGGCGGGAGGGGGTGAAACGGGGGTTTGTTAAACATTATTTGCAGAAACGCTGGGTACGGTGTATCGAGGTAACTAATGAGGAGGTCAATTAATTGGGAAACAACGTGGGGTATCAATTACCTGAGCATCGCGTTGTGCACGTTATGATGAACATTTTCGGGGGTTTAATTGGGATTTTTTTTTTCGGCGAGAAGTTTTGCATCTCTCGGGGGAGTGGGGGCGGGGGAAGATTTTAATTAAAATACATTTGAAAAATGTATGAATTCAGGGGTTTTGCGGGGCCGAGAGTGTCGGAGGGAAGCGTTGGAACAGAGAACTGGTTGGAAACGACGTGTCAACGACACTTGCGGGTTTGGGGTCGTGCACATGGCACCCAGCGGTGGTTAAAGGCCCTCTCTCTACTCGTAGAGTAGAGTATGTTGCATAGTGAGTAGAGAGTGGAGAAACACCGTTGGGGTTTTGTACTGAAGCGCGCGCTTATGTATCCCAACGTCGTGTCCCTATCGATCGACATCCAGCGAGCGTGCTATTTTAATTAGTCATATTCCTGAGGAAAAGGATGTGCGTGGAGTTGGGACGTCGGGTTTACCCAAAACAACTCATTCTTGGGGTTGGCGGGGGATATTGCATGGGGGGTTGGGGCCATTTCTAGGGTTCTCTTCGTTGGGAATGGGATCGCGTTGCAATTTTTAAGCAACTGTGGATGCGAGAATCTCATCCCTTGATAATTGAGATTATTTGAGATTTTTTGGTTCTTCTGGGGGAGTTCGAGTGGAGCTGATGATATCTGAGGATTTTTTTCCGTTTATTTTTCATTTTTTAAGGGTTACGTAAAGTTCAGGGACAAATGTTTCCGCTGATATTTTTCCAGTTAAATTCAAGGGAACCAAACGATTTTGAAGACTTGATTACTGCGGTTTTTATTTATTTTTTAATTTTTTCGTTTTCATTATTATTAATTTGAAGGTCTATGGAATTGCGGATTGATTGTTACATCAACAGGACTATTTTTCCTCAATTTCTCTAAATCTTCGAAATTTTTCTATTTTGGCTGACGATAGCTGAGAATTTTTATCGTCTGTTCTGGGTGTTATTGTTAATCTGCGAATTGATTCTTATTGAGTATTATTTTTCAAGTTAAAATTGAGGGAACCAAACGATTTTGTGGACTTGACTACTGCGGTTTGAATTTTTTGTCGTTTTTTGTATTTTCATTATTATTAATTTGAAGGACTATGGGATTGTAGATTGGTTGTTACGTCAACAGAAATTTTTCTATTTTGTCTAAGTATCCCTATCGATCGACATCCAACGAGCGAGCTATTTTAATTAGTCATACTCATATTCCTGAGCAAAACAACTCATTCTTGGAGTTGCCGGGGGTTTTGGGGAGATATTGCCTGCAGGCTTCTCTTCGTTGGGAATGGGATCACGTTGCACTTTCTAATCCCCCTGTGGCTGCGAGATTCTCATCCCTTGATAACTGAGATTATTTGAGATTTTTTGGTTCTTTTTGGGGAGGTTCGCGTGAGGCTGATAATATCTGAGAATTTTTATCGTCTTTTCTGGGTTTTTATTGTTGATCTGAGGGGCTGGAAAATTGTGGACTGGCTGTTACGTTAAATTCAGGGCTAAATGTTTTTTGTAAAATCATTTTTCAACTTAAAATCAAGAGAACCAAACGATTTTCATGAGTTGATTATTGCGATTTGAGTTTTTTTGAAAATTTTTCTATTTTTATTATTGATTTGAAGGACTATGAGATTGTGGATTGACCGTTACATCAACTGCACTATTTCGCCTGAACTCCTTCAAGATGTCTCAGAGTTTTTTATTTGTCATCAGTATAAGCTCCTTGACAAAAGCACTCGCATTATTACCAGAGATTTCTGCTTTCTCTGATGTAGTTCTCCTTTTTTTGCGGTTACTGAACTAAACGGACGATATCCGAGAATTTCGGTCTTCCATCTCCCTTTACTCTCGATTCGTGTGACTACGATATCATGAATTAATTATCACGTAAGCCTCACAGAGAAATAATCCTCCAATCCCAAGTTGCGCATGAAGGCAACTTCCCCGTTCATAGACGATACCCTTGAAATTTTTCGAGCACACGCGACGCTCTGACTCTTCGCCGAAGTCCTCCTGACTGAAACCCGAGATTCCTATTCTTCTGTTTCTTAATCCTCACAGATGAACGAATTCTCGTAAATGTTGTTCCCTTGACAACCGAGATGCTTCTAAACTCAGTCAGATGCCATCCGAGAGCTCTCGGCGTTCTTTGTTCCCCGTTTGCCTTCATTAATTGTCGAATCAGCTTCAAAGACAGCCATTCCCCCAACAAGCGCACCAAGGCACCTTCTCCGTGGCAATACTATTCTTCCTGAACTCCTTCTCCGCCTCGATTCCCCCGACAATCGTATCCTTGAAATTCTTCAACTCTCCCTCGGCACCCGGGACACTCTGACTCCTCGACGAGGTCCTCCTCCTCGAGGCCTGTGAATTCCTACTCTTCGGCTTTCTCTGTCCCTCCACCGAAGGCGTCGACACCCTCTCCGATTTCTTCCTCACCCTCTTCTTCTCGGGACTGGACTTGGACGACTTTGATGACTTTCCATCGTCCTTACGAACCTCCTGCCCCGAACTAGTACTCGGCGTCGGGCTGGGACTCTGCGTCTGCGTCTGTGTGTCAACCCTCGGTGGTGGCGGTACATCCGACCAAACAGGAAGGTACCCAACGTCCCGATAAATCGTCTTGTCTGGCCTCGGTGTGTACGGACTCAGAGAAACGGGTAAAGTCAAACTTTGGGGATTCGGGTGCTCGAAGGATGTTGCCTGGTACTCCTGCAGCTGCAGCTGTCGAAGTAATCTACGATGTCGGCGATCGTTGTCCAAAGTCGGTGGGCATAAAGTACAATCGAGACGTGGCATTTGCGGTGGTATCTCGGGTGATTTTTCAGACGGCTGAGTTAGATGTACTCGCAACTGGCTGCGAAACGCCTTCGGGCTGTCCTTGGAATTATCAGGTAAGCTCTTAGCAGCTAAGCCACCTTTGATCGTACTCTCTTCCCTAAATAAATTGGACTTCAACTCTTGACACGAGTGTGACAGCGTCTTGGCCAAGTTGTCCCGGGGATTTGATAGCAGATTGTCAGAACTGTGCGAATTGTGTAATTGGTTTGGTACTGCTCCCGACACACATATATCCGGCGATGTCTTCTGCGCTCCGGCGTTATCAGGGGCTAATGGGGGGGTCAACCCCTCTGGTAATACTCTTGAACCAACAGAATTTGTCCTCGGATTCACATCGAATATCGCTTCCCAGCCCAGTCGGGGGACTTGAGGAGCATCGTTGCTGATTAAACGCTGGGTACTTGGGGTTGCCGGACGGCAGACAGATTGATCGTTTACGGAAGGTAGCACTGGACACTCGGGACTGTATATCCAATTAAATGTGCGCCCGGCCAAGGAACTATCCTCCCTTTTCTGGGATATTTCGTTTGTTATAGTTGACTCGGGTTTAATTAATTCTCTGTCATCTTTTTTTAGGGGGGTCTTATCGCGCTTGGTTTCCTCCTCCTCGGTTACTGTTGATAATTGATCGAAATCTACGTGCAGCCGGTGAATACTGTTCATTTTCTCAGTCGAGAGCTTTTGATTCTCGGCGTTTTCCAGGAGCTCATCTTGGATTGAGTCAGGGGTTAGCAGCTTTTCGGGGGCCTTCGGGGACTCGCTTATGTTGTCGTCGTCCGCTTCTTCTTCTTCTTCGTCGTCGTCTTCCTCTTCGTTCGAACCGCTTGAACAGTCGTCGCTGAAATCCTGGAATGAAGAGAAATGTCGAATCATTCTGGTCCTTTATGAGATGGGCAGACCCTGGGCATCTCGTTGTTTTCGTAATATTTAAGGATTTTTACCACTGTCGTGTTGGATTTAGAAGTTTTTATACAGCTTGCATTTCCCCAATTTTCAAGTTATTTTATCATTACATTCGCGAATTTTCATTCAATTCTGTTTTGTATATTAATCCAGTTTTTGAAGGCTTCAATCATTCTCATCTTAAATTGAGGGAAAAATTTCTTACTAATTGTGGACATTGAAAATATTATTGATTTGAAACTCGAATAGTTAATAATTTCAGGCAATAATTTTAGTCGCTTGGATTTTTATATTCTTTGAGTGTTTAAATCATCGCATCAAATTAACAGTGAAATTATCATTGTGAGTTTTCGATTGAAGAGTGAAGCTAGAGGTAAACCGAGTTGTTCAGTATTCTAAGAATTTTTATTTTTAATTGAGAGTGAAGTTTTAGTAGTGAAAACTAAAAGGCGAAATGATTTTTTAATTGGAGAGCTTGCATTTCCCCAATTTTCAAGTCATTTATTGGCGATTTTATCATTATCTTGGCGAATTTTCATTAAATTCTGTCTTGTATATGAATCCAGTTTTTAAAGGCTTCAATCATTCTCATCTTAAATTGAGGGAACAGTTTCTTACTAATTGTGGAAATTAAAAATTGTATTGAATTGAAACTCGAATAGTCGATAATTTCAGGCAATAGTCGCTTGGATTTTTACTCTCTTGGAGTATTTAAATCATCTCATCAAATTATCGTTGAATTTCTTTAAAATTCTGCGATTTTCCAGTCATGAAATTTATTCGAATTTCACATGAATCAAGTTCTTGATTATTTATTCAACGAATTATGCCTCCGAACTGGGGATAAAATTTTGTATTGATATCAACTTAAATTTTAGAATCAACTCTGAAAATTAAACATCGCATTGAATTAAATTTCGATTGAATGAAAAACTCGAGCCAAAACTATCGTGCATTTTCACAATTTTTCCCTCGAACATTCGTCGCTGAAATCGTGAAATGGAGAGAAACCGTCACATTAAGGAATGATTAATTTCCCCGATAAGATGAACAAATAATTCACGAACCTCGTCGTTTTCACTATCCTCCCTTGACTTTTGGCTCTTGAGTATCTCCTCCAACTTGTCGTACTCCTCCCTCAGACACCATATCTCACGTCTCAACTGCTCGTTTTCACGTCTGAGCTTCTTTATGTCATTGTGACCTGAAACACACGTATTTTCGAATATTGCGAAGTTCAGAGTTGATACTACACACATGAAGAAATTTAATAGGAAAACTTGGCAGTTTTTGCGATCAGAAATTCTATTGAATTTTCTATAAGAATTGTCTGGTAGGTCTATTAAAATTCTATTAAACAATTCTATTTGTTTTTTTGCGCCATTTTCACAGAAGATTATGCAACTTTACCACGTCGTTTTGTTATGAGATATTTGATAGAAAAAAGTCAATGGATTTTCATCTATTCCTTATAATAAAATCTAAGAAGCGAAATTCGGAAAATTCATTCCCAAGAATTCTCATAAAAAAAATTCCAGCAGAATAACTTATCTAGAAAAATCAACATCTGTGGAAATTTTTTAATACAATCGGCGCAAAAGACAGATATAAATAATTATCTTCTTTAGATAATTATAGGCAATTATAATTATGATAATTCATCAATAGAATTCTCACACATTTGCAATAGAAATTTAGTAAAATTTGCTCTTGGGTTTATTTCTGTAAAAAATCATGCAACCTTACCGCGTCATGTTGTCAACAGATATTTGATAGCAAACAGTTAATAGATTTTTACTTTTACACAGAGATTACTGGTTATAAATTTTTCAAGTCTTTTCCGCTGTTTTTTCCTTTGTTGTTTAATAAAATCCAAGAAAAAAAAGAAAACAATAATGTCCGAGAATTTTTATTAAAAAATCACCACAGAATAATTTGCGCACGACGAAGTCACATGAATTTCAATAGAATTGCCTTAAGAAACCAAAAGAATCTTTAAAAAACCTTAAAAAAACTCCGTTTTCCTATTAAATTTTCTCACACGCATCCGCCCGGATTATCCCCCGCATTAACATTTCACCATTACCGACCACCAGCTATAAACCCCGACGAATCCCCCGATTCCCCAGCGACCACAACATGAGAAATTACTTCGATCGAACGACTTTTTAATCCCCGAATTGGCCAAGCAGTCCCTCAAATATTGTTCCATCGAGCCGTCATTCTATTTCCGTCCGCCAAGCGAGATCGCGAAATACCCCAGCCCAAACCCCCATCCAAAAATCTCGAAAGCCCACGCGAAAGCCCCTCAAACTCACTCTTCTCAAATCAAAAACTCCAAAATTTCCACAATAGAAATCACCTTGAAGATACTCAAGCCCCTTAAGGATGTTTAGCCAGTGCCGGTAATTGTCAGTAAATATGATTTTTTCGATGTTCAAGGAAAATTTTGTAATTTTGTTGGCTGATAGTAGAACCTACAAAACTAACTTTATTGATGTTTAAAAAATATTTATCGCAATAACATCGGCAGGAATAAATAAACAAACTTTTCCTTATACATGGGCTCTTATGGGATTTATGTTCAAACTGATAATTCACTTACTAGAAGACTCTAGCAATAGAAATAAAAATAGGAGGTAATCTGCAAAACGATACTGAACCAAATGACCAGAGAAAAATCTGGGGTACCCGGGCAAACAGAGGAAATATCTGAATGATTCTATCCCATATAATCGCACGTTAGCGCATGCATTTGGGACATTTTGTCTATTTTATTTCTAAACAATGAGCATGGGTTGGTGGATTGAAATTTCTACCAAAGTGAAGGGAATAACTTCATCTGACAGTTAAAAAAAAATCAATTCTTTTTTGAGTAATTGCGGTTTTGGATAAACATCCTTAAAAAAACCATAACGAACGTACTCTGAAGCTTCTTGTTCCCGCGAGCTCTGTCCCTGTCCCTCCTGTGCATCATGAGTCCCTCTCCATGCGCGCATTTTATCAATCCCAGATCTCCGCCAGTCCGGTTTATTTATCCGCCGTTAAAAAGCTCCGTTAAACCCCCCAACAAAATCCCCCACACATGGACACCACCGAATACTCCAGAATAACTGATAAATCCGTCTAGGACATGGGAGCGTGCAACCGAGAACAACCACACAGCGATCAGACCGCTGGGGCATGTAGCAGCAGCCCAAAAATACAAGATACACAAGTGCGCATTAAACGGGAACACCAGATGTCCTCTTCCCTTTAGCATCACGACCTCGTAATCTATCTTTTCTCGATGATGACGAGTGTATCCGCCTGATACCACGGGCCTCAACATTTCCGATTGGCGTTTCCACAATCATCGCCCCCCCCCCCCCCCCCCCC